GGAAATCCTCCTGTTACCTTTGGCACTCTGCTGCTGAGGGGTGGGGACGGCAGGACCCACGACCCTCAGACACAGAGGCTACGGGAGCTTCAACGCAGGACATGTCTGCAAGTGCTTTGAATTGCAAAGTGCTGCTGTGGCCTCAGCTGGCCCTGCCCTGCCCTGCTCTGCTCTGACAGTACCAGCCCCTGGCTGTGTGTGGGATCCATGTCTCTCTCATGGGGAGCAGCCCCTGGGAAGCCCCAGGTCACCTGGAACAGCAGGTAGGAGTCCCCATCCATCCCTGACTTTCCTTCAGGAAGGATTTGATCCTCTGTAATTTTTAAACCCTGGTTTTCACTGCACAGATCATCTCTAAAAAAGACCTGCTGGCTCTCCTAGCAGTGCTGGGCTCCTACTCCCAGGCCATGGGCCAGAGAGGACCTTCCTCTCCAGGCTAATGGAAAAAAAATGGAGAGAATTTTTTTAATTGACTCGGAATCAATAGATAAAGTATTCTCTAAGCACTTTTATTAATAAATATATACATCCTTGCTGTCCAGAGAGGGTTACCAAGCATCTCCTGTATATTCTAATATCTGCAATCTGAATTAATCAATGTATTGGTATCGTATTTTTGACTGTAAAAGGAATGAAGCTCTCTGGGTTCAACCCTCTCATGGGCTGCAACTCCAGCTGCTGATGGATAGTCAAAAATACAGGGAGAAGGGCCTGTCTTGTTAGGAAAAGAGTTAATTTGACGATTTTTGAGCAGGGTGTGCTGTTCAGGGGAGCAGGTGAGGGGCTCCTGGGTGTTCAGGGTGCCCTGAGTGTGTCCATGCTCCCACCCATCCCTGTGCAGGGGAGCAGCATTGGCACCACTCCAGGATGGAAAGGCCAAAAGAAGGGGGATGGAGCATCAACGTTGTTTTTTTGCATTGTTTTCTTTTTTGGCAGATTTGTTATTTCACTGAAAGAAATGACAGAGTTAAAACTCTGGTGAGGAAGCAGAACCTCTGTCATCTGTGATTTTAACTTCTCAGTGGAACAGAGAATGATTAGTAAACGTTAAAAAAACCCCCAAATCTTTAGATTTCTTAAAAAATATGGACATTTCCAGGCAGCTTTGTTGCAGGGGGATGTGTCTGCTGGTGTTTGAAGTGGCTTGGTGCTGGGCTGGCTGCAGGAGCCTCGGTGGGGAGCTGGGGGGGTGTTGCAGGGCTCTGCCTGAGCCTTGGCAACCTCCAAACATTGGCAGCTCTTGAAAAGCAATTTTGCAAAGTGCCTGGTGACAATGTAGGGCATCCCCTGGCGACTCCAGGGCAAAACTGATGCTTGTGCACTTCATGAAAAACACTTCAGCAAGAGGCTGGGCCGGGGGGGTTGTAGCATTTGTCAAAGTATTGGTTGTGCTCTGGAGTTTATTGAGCCATTAATGTTGTGCTGTGGCATTTGTTGGGGTCTTGAAATGTAAGAAGTGTTTGTGGCAGTAGTAAATGCCATGGGATCTTGTTTTTCCTTGGTGTTATGTTATTAAATAAAGGGAGATCAGGGGTGCCCTGCCAAGGCAGCAGGAGCACAGAGCAGCCAAAGGGGCTGTGCAGGGGAAGTTGATTTTCCTAGAGCTGCTTGTCCAGTGGCTCCATAGAACCAGGGGGTTGCTGAAGGGGATAATAATGAGCCTTAATGACTTTTCAGCTCCGGCTCCCCTGAGTTAACACTCTGTTTGTGTGAACACAGCCCCTCTTGTAGAGCAGCAGCTCTGCCATGGCTGATAAAGTCTCCCATGAGGTGCTGGTGTGGTCGGGAGCTGGTTTTCTCTTCTGGCAAAATGTGCTTCCCTACCCAGGCTACTTTTTGTGGGTTTGGAATTGTCTTTACAGAGCTGATGCTTTTCAAGGTGACTGTTGAAGATTTTTAAATACATTAAAGTGGCTTTCCTTGCAGAAGGCTTTGCACACTTAACACCCTCGTGTGGTATCTCTACAGAACAGGTTTGTTTGCCAGAAAAAAATGAGGAAAACCCAACCCCTTCCTGCTTCATGAACCAGTTCTGATGGACTGGGTCATGCTTTATTAATAATAAGTTGAATATGTGCATAAAGGGAGTTTTGGCAGTCGGGACTGAAACCAACCTGGATGAGAGGGAGAATATTTAACAATGCACTTGCTGTGGATTCAATTAGGAGCAATGAAGAATCTACTTCTTTCTAAATCTTATTTTCAGAAATATTATTACCCCTGCAACTGCTGCTCAGCAATTCCCAGCCATCTCCCCAGCCCCCCGGCACAGCAGTGGTCTCTGCATAATGTAGACACTGAAATGAGAAATCAGCACTTTGTAATGGGCTCTCAAACTAAAATTAAACATCGATTTCCTGGCTTGCAGTCAGATGATTGCCATTCAGTTGGCCCGGGGAACGTTTCTGGACCAGAGGCATTCTTGCTCGGACTTTGATGTTACAGGGATTGTGTTTTGTTGATTTTTCCCTCCTGGATTCCCTGGGAGAACGTGCTGTTCAAACAAGGTGCTTGATGTGTGGCTTGCCCCTGGGCTCCATGGGTGGAAGCACGGCTGAAAATGTCCCTGCAGGGCTGGCTCACCGAGCTGTGCTCCAGGGGACACTTCCAGCCACGGCTCTTTCTAGGAACAGGCTGTTTCTCAGCCAGAGTGGGTGTTCTGGGTGTACTGGATGGACTGGGCTGCCTTTTCTCCAGGTTCCTGCTTTGCTCCTTCTCCCTCAGCTGCTCCTCCTGGCACACCAGCGCTCGGTGACCGTCTGGGAGGAGGTTTGGGAGGGGAGACGCTGCCGGGGCTGTGGGTCTTGAGGTGAAGCGGGGAACACGTTGCATTGCCGAGAGAGGGATATTTTTCTGACAGAGCTACAGCAAAGGAGCTGCTTCAGCAGCTCAGGGCAGAGCTGAGCTCTCTGAGTCACTCTGTGGGGTCATCCAGCCTCGCAGATGTTCCTCGGCACCAGGCAACCTCTTTTCCCCCTCGGAGGGGAGGGATTGCTCACACCCACGACCTCGTTTGCAGCTTCTTCTGACCTGGTGTTGGGTCATTTCCCCCTGTCTGGTTTTCCTGTCTGGGTTTGTGTTCAAGTGCGTGACAGAGAAGGTGACTTCACGGAGAGGCTCCTGCAGGCAGATCTCCTGAAAGGGTTCTTTGATGTACTTTTTGTCACTTTATGCAGAAGTATGACAGGAGGGTTTCCATTTTCCATTAAAATTCCCCAGGTCTTTCCTTAATCCCTCCCCTGTTCATGCTGCTCTGTGATGGCATTAGTGCTGAGATGATAACTTAAGCATAAGCCACTTTTCACATCTAATCTCAATCCTAAAATTAATGTTCTTCTGCAATTAGGAATACAATAGAATTGTGGAATTCTCCAAAAAAGAGAGACCTGATTACCCCCATCCCAGTGGCTCCTGTGGTCCAGGAGGATTCATCAGGCCCTTGAGCTGGGCACACTCCAATCCAAAGGGCTGACAGCAGTGATTATATTTGGGGTTTGAGAACAATACCCTGAAGTAAAGAGAGATGGAGCAATAAGTTGAAGATGAGGCTGAATCAAACCATGAAGCAGAAAGGAATGACTCGGGTAGGAAATGAATGCACTGAGCTAATGAATCACTTTGAGGCAAAACAAGAAATTAAATGTACTCTGAAAGCTGGCACATTAGCAAATGGGCTGTGGGTTTTTATCCATTTTACATTTCAAAATGCTGAAATAAAGGATGTTGTAGGATGAAATCCCATTAAGAAATAATGCCCGGAGTAGGGAAATAAGGATTTGGTTAACAGGAAACAGGGACTTTGTTTCTCTTCCCAGAGCAGCTGGGAACTGCCTTTGTGTCATGGGGCAAATCACCTTTGGGCATTGATCTCTGGGGGGAGAGCAGAGCTGGTTGTGCCTGGTGAGGGAGGGGAAGGGAAGGATTGGCCTTTGCTTCCCAGAGGTTGGTGCAGGACACGAGTGCCGAGTGCTCCGACAGCCAGGGGGGATTATGGAAGTGTGTGGTGTGGCTGGGACACAGAGCTGGTGCCAGAAGGGATTGTCAGGGGAGTACTTTGGATCCCAGATTTCCCATTCCAAGGCAGCTCCTGCCCTCCCCTCACAGCCAGCCTTTGCCCAGCTGCCCTTCCCAGGCTCTGGGAAGACCCTTCCAGGTGTCAGTATGTTGACGTGTCAGTTTTAAAGGAATCCCCTGGTGAAGCTGAATTATTTGCACTTGTTCCTGTGGTGACATCCTGCTGGGGTCAGTCCTTGCATATACTCTTGGTGGGGCAGGATTGCCACCCACTGCTGGGCCGCGGGGCAGCGCTGGCGTGGGTGTTGTCACGCCGTGGGGTGGGGTTGGCATGACTCAGGGTGATGGTGGCAGGCCTTGGGGGGATGTTGGCGTGCTGAGGGTGATGTGGCAGAGCTGGGGTGGTGTCGGGCCGCCGCTGTCCGTGGTGCTGAGCCCTATGCCCCCCCACAGCGCTGCAGCACCATCCAGGGCCACTGGAAGATGCTGTTTGTTGGGGCTGCCGTTGAGCACGAGCAGCTGTGGACTGGTGGCATCCCCAAAAGAGGGCGGGATACATCACTATTTCCCCCTCTCCCCCCTTTCCAATCCCACCTGCACTGAGGGACTCGGGGGGGTTATCACCTGCTCAGGTCTCCACTGGCCACAGTGAATTCTCTTTTCTGTTTGACATCTTCAGAGGTCGATGCCAAGCACCTTCAAGGAGCAGCAGCTTTTGTTGTCACCTGAAGAGGGAAATCTGGGTCATCCTGGGCCAGGTAACGTGCACCTGCCTGGCCAGGTGAGCAGTGCCTGAGCCCCAGCAGTGAGTTCCTCTCCTCTGGGTTCACACTGGGTGCTTTCAGGAGGGGACCTTGCTCTGCTGCTTTGTGTGTGCGAGCCAAGCCTGCTGAGTCTGTTCCCTGGCACGCAGTCCACACTCTGCTCTGTACACAGAGGAATAAGATAAAAAAGCTTCCTCCCCCTCACGTTGCTACTGAAAAACAGGGATGGGGGAAAAAATATAATCCTCCAGCCCCTGCCCTGCCTGTGGTGATAAGAGCAATGCAATCTTTTCTTTAACCGAGGCAGGGCAGTTTCATTATTCAGCAAACAAAGCCCTTTCAGGGATTTCTGCATTGTGGATGTTTTCTCGGTTGTTTTGCACCAAATTCGTCGCAGCAGCAAGGCCACAGAGTTTGCCTTGACTCCCCTCACTACCAAAATAAATGTACAGGGCAGGATTGTTCCACTGAGCAGCTGTGACTGGGGAGAGAGAAGAAGGAAGGAGATGGTACGTGCCGACAGCTCTAAACTGATTGCGGTGAGGATTGCTATGTATGAGAGAGTTCAGGGGGGAAACAGGAGGAAGTCACAGAGGCAGCCAAAGCTCACAGGATGGCGAGAGCCAAGCTGAAGAATTCCCCTTCTGAGAGCAATTCCCATGTCAAAACTGTCCCGCCTGCGACGACAGAAGATGTCCATGGGGTGAGCCCCTTGTTGCCGTCTCGGAGGATGGGATCCATGGGGAGTGATGTCGGACAAAGGTATTGCAGGACTGCAGTGGTGCGTGGGGCGGCTGGGGGGGAGGCAGCACCTTTTATCTTTTAAATGAGAGGGGAAGGATTAGAGCCTCCACGGGCTGGAGGGGTGGTGGATCAAATCCTTCTCATAGAGCCACACTGGCTCCGAAGTTGTATTATGAAATAGGGAGCTGGGGCAGAAGAAAGCCAATCCCTTTAAATTTTTTATAAGTGCTTCTTGATTTTTTTATATGCCTAAAGCATATCTGAATAGCAGCCTGAGTCCGTGGGGCTGCCACACACCACTGTTAACTTGCCTTGCACCTTCTCTGTGCAGTATAAAACCGAAGCTTAATTACACTGCTTAACATCATGATCGGCGCTGTACAGTAGCCCCATGTTTGCATGGCAGGAGAGATGCTCCATCTGAGCAAGAATTTACTTGTAACTGCAATACAAAAAAAAAAAAAAAAAGCTGCTGTAGGAAATGCTGCAGCCTTTCTGCAAGCTCACAGCTGAGTGTACAGCCAGGAAGGAGCTGTTTTTTCAGGAGGATGGAAATGCTTTACACTGTGCTGGGATTACAGTGTTTCAGAAGGAGCCAGGTCCCCTAGTTACGATGAGGATCCATATGTCACCAATTCAGTCCTTGTTCTGTTCATTCCATTTTCTGTTTCGTTTTTTTTCCGCCATCTATCCAACCTTTCAGCCCATCCCTGCTGCCTCCCCTCCCGGCAGGAACTGCCTCACCTGTGACTGTGTACTGTGCGTCTTCTAGGATGTGGTTTGGTGCAGATGAGCGCGGTAGGAAGGCTTCTGCTCGTGGTGAATTTTACTTGTTTGGCTTCAGATTGGAATGAATTAACGCCTCAGCCTCAGTCTCCTGGCATATCTGGGGGGAGGGTGGCACCCAGCCAGGAGGAGCAGCTGTGTCCCCGCGGGGGAAGCCGGGGAGGGACGTGTGCGTTGCGGGAGCACCGGCGCGGCCGTTCCCGGTGCCGAGCCGTGCCGGGCACATGCTTCAGTCTCCAGGTCTGGGAGGCAGAGTCCTGGTGTGTCCCTGGTGTGAAGTGCCAGCTCTCCAGATGGCACTGGTGCTGGTGCTCTGGTGAGCAAACACTTGGATCTGGTGGGTCTGACTTGGCCAGGCAAGGGCTTGCACGTGTGGGGAGCTGCAAACGGGCACCGCGTGGGTGCAGTGGGACTAAATCCCTGCAGCTGGTGTGGTCTCAGCACGTTTTGATGAACAATCTGAGTGTGCTCCCAGTGCTGATCAGGCTGCTCGTGCTCTGCTTTTGTGTCTTGTCTCATTGCTTCAAAAAGACACCAAAGCTGGACCTGTTCTGGGGGTACCTGCACCTCTGAGTGCACGTCCTGGGCTCCACTGTGGGCAAAGTCTTTGGAACAAGCACCTCCTCTCTGTGCCATTCCAGGTGCTGAGGGTGTACCCCTCAGGGCAGGGCTAGAGGCCAAATCCAGGTGTGCTGTGACTAGAAAAATACAACTGGGGACTCCTACAAGCTCATCCGAACCACTGCTAATCAGCTGTGATTAAACATGCAAGAGGGGCTTCTCCTCTCCAGCACTCAGGGGCTTGGTGGGTTCCTGCCCAGGACCAGGGAGCCAAATCCCAGGGCTGACAAGGGCTGACCCTCCTTGTCTCTTGTGGGAGCACAGCATAAAGGAGGGGTGCTGCAGGGCCTTCTTGGATCTGGGGGGGGCAGCAATTCCAAAAATCGCATCGCTACAGTGTTTTAGTGGATCCTTGACGGGGACAGCGTGCAGAGCACACGGGGTGCCTCAGGGCTGTGTGAAAGACCCAATTCCCCGAGTTTTGCTGGAGTTTCAAGTGTTTGCTGCAATCCTGTTGTGAGGAGCTGATGCTGGGAGGCAGAGGAGTTGGTGGCACACTTTTGTCCTCGTGTGCCTGCGGGCAGAGCCCCGCGAGCTGCAGCTTGCGGTGACTGGATTCCCGAGTGCCGGGCTTCCCTCCTTCCCTGTGTGCTGCTTCCCAGCGATGAGTTGGCAGTTAAGATTTGTGCACTTCTCTTCAGCCGCCTGTGCAAGCAACAAAGGCAGGAAGATTGGTTTGGGAGTGATGAATAGCGTGTTTGAGGTGCTTCTCTCCTCCAAAGCCAGACACAAGCAGCGTTATCAAGTCGGCAGCGACAATTGTCACTGGGAGTTGGGAGTGAATTAGCAGGTGATGGTGGAAGGAGATGTGTGTTAGAGGATGTTCTCAGGGATGCAAATGATTTCTCCAGATGATTGAAGCCAGTGAAATAATTCTCACCTACTTTATTTACCTCCTTACTCTGTCTCTTAGTCATTGCAGCACCTCAGAGCTTTTAGGAGTTCCCAGTCAAAACAGGAGGAAAGGATTTGAATTCATCTGAGGAGAAACCACTCCACAGATATGTATTATTCTACACTTGGAAGGCAAAAAGGGGACTTCAGGGCTGTCCCTGGGCGTCCTGGATAAGGATTTTTTCCTGTGTGCAGGGTGGGACCAGCCCAGGCTGCCCCTGTGGGAATATCTCCCACTGAAGAGGTTTGGAGCTACTTCTGTACATCAGGGACTGCTGTGAGATGGGGTTGGAAGCAGGGCAGCCTCTAGGCTATGCCAGGGAGGGCAGGCTCAGCTGCAGACCATCTACCTGGGCACTGAAACTCTTCTGGCAGCCAGTGATAGTGACTGGAGAAGCTGGGAGAGGCTGAGCCTTTCCCTGCGAGCCGGGTTTTTCCTGAGGCAGGTCGGTTCCCTGTGCCTTGTGTTGGGAGGGATTTGAAAGGGAAAGGTGTGATGGGGAACAAAGTCAGAGCAGAGCCCAGCTGTGCTCCGAGCTCTCCGTGGAACGCTGTGTGTTTGGGGAGAAGCTGCTGGCGGGAGGCAGGACGTGGAAATATCTGCTTGGATCCCATTCCATGGGCCGGTGATCTCCCTGTAACACCGGAGGGGTGGGTTTAAAAACACAAACAAACGTTTTTACAAGATAACCATGTCCTGTTTGTGCAGCTCTGCTGGAAGCAGGGGAAGCTCTGGCCACTGCCTGTCCCGGGGAACAGTGCTATTCCAATGGGATTGCAAACATTCCCTTTAGGTATCTGCTTTGGACACTCTGCTCCAGGCCTTGGCAGGGCTCTGTATCCCCCCCTCGCCTCCTTGAGTTGTGTTTGTTGAGCTGCCGAAATCTGAACTGCTGAAGGTTTGGGGGAGAAAATTAGCATTGCAGAAGAGCTGGGATTGGAGAGGACCCTGGAGGGCTCTGCTCCAAACCTGCTCAAAGCTGGACAGGCTTTAGAGTTGTCCCAGCTGGCTCAGGACCAGCCCTGCTGAGTTCTGAACATCTTGCTGGTGATTTCTCGGCTTTTCTGGGTGCCGGGTGCAGGGTTTGATCACTCCCAGGGGGAATAATTTTTCCCTCTGCATCTCGTACCTGTTCTCTCCTGTCCCTTTGCTGTGTGTGTCCCAGAGGGGGCTGACTGCTCCTCACCCATCGGGGCAGCAGTTGGATCCTTCCCTCCCTTTCTCCTTCAGGCTGCACGTTCCCACCTCCCGCAGCCTTGCCTCGTCTCTCAGTTCGAGATATTTTTGGCAGGAATAAATGGGACTTTGCTTCAGCCCTGTTCCAGTCAACAAGGTGGCTGGAGTCTCCTCAGAGGCAAACAGCAGCATTCTACTGGGGCAAGTTTACTGGGAGATTTCTTGAAGGTAAAGCACTCTGGGCAGTGAGGAATTCACCCAAAATGCAGCTGAAAATGGAATTTCTGGCCGGTCGATGTTTCGTTCCTGCTGGGGGCAGCCAGGTATCAACAGACAGGTCTGGCTCAGTGTCTTTTCATTGCCTGGCACTTGCACACAAGGAGACCACAGGCAGGTCCAGTCTGGCCAGTGAAACCATTGCAGCTGCTGTGTCCTTGCAGGCAGCTCTCTGGGGGATGTTCTCCGGAGCAGGTCGGAGCAGCCTGGATACGATTCCCTGCCGAACCATCCCCGTGCTGTGCTGCTGAATCCCCTCCCAGGGGGACAATAAGTCAACAGCTAATTTATTTATTTTTAACATCTCTTTAATAACAAAAGCTTTGTTGGAAAAAGTGCTTTTGGAGCTGTATCTCTGCCTTCAGCCAGTGCCATGTGCTGGTCGGGCACCTCTGCTCCCAGGGAGGCGGCTTTGGGCAGGAGAAATGCTGTGCCAGGGACATTCCCGGGGTGGGGTTTACTCACCCCTGCCCTGCCAATGTATGCTCCAGCCTCGGGTCTTCTGCTGCTGCTCTGCTGGCTGTGGATGAGGGTTCATACACCAGGTATTTGGGCAGTGCTGAGGCCGGGGATGTTGAGAGGGTTTGTGATGGGAGGATTTCTGCATCTGTGCCAGACCTGGCTCCTGCACCGCTCCTCTCTGAGCTGGGTCTCAGCTGCCACTTTGGGAGGGAGGGCAGGAACTGGCTTTGCTGTGGGAGCCTTTATGGGGAAGACCTGAAACAGAGCCTGGGGGAGTCCAACAGTTTTGCTTAAAAAGCGTTTTGGTCTTGATCTGCTTTCCCTCTGACTGGGCAGGGCAGCCCTCACTGGGGTGTATTTTTGGCAGGGGTGTCTCTGTCTGGGGAGCACCAAGTCCAGCTGGGGTTCACTCTGCCATGCAGCTGTTTGCTGACAGGGTGTTAGTGTGTGATGGTTGCCCAGACTGGAGCGTGGTGTCTCCAACCCTTCCCTCAGCAGTAACCAAACCACAGGCTGGTCTCAGCTCTGGGGTCCAACCCCCAGCCTGCCTGGCACTCCCATGGGAAGGTGCTCGCTGAGCATCACCTCTCCTTCCAGCCTTGAGTGTGTTTTCCTTGGCATTGACAGGCCTGAGGGGTGGCACTGCTCACACACCATTTAACCTGGGAGTTTCTGGGCACTGCTGGGTGATGCCAAGGGTGTTTTCAGTGTAGGACCACTGCAGAAATCGGGCAGGGTGCTCAGCTGCTGAACTCCACTGTAAGGGCAGCATGGGAATGCACTCCTTGATCCTGATGAACAA